GTCTGTAAATGTTTAGAGGGGGAATTACTAATTACTTCTGAGTCCTGGGACCTGCTAAGTCTGCTGGCATTCTTAACTTACAGGGGGATGGAGATAAGGGTCTGGAACTTGCCTTACAGAGGTGAATATCTTACTTAATTTGTGACTAAGATGGCTATAGCCAAATACAGGTCTTTGCTCCCTGCACGAACTCATCTCTATTATTCTGTATGTCACCACGTGGCAGTGGCTTACCAGCCAAAGTTCCCAGTGGTTGTCTCAGGCGGCAGATCCATGGCTTCTCCTACCTCCACCTTCCTCTCTCTGTGCTATAGGCCAAGCTGGTTTTCTTTATTTATTAACCAATAAAATCAACATATAGACAAAAGGACCTCCCATATCAAACAATATTACTTTTAGCTCCCATGTAAGAGAAAATTTAGGGATCAAGAGTAAAACTCTAGGACCACTTGATTCAATGTTTAGCGACATCTTCAAAGAATCTGTTTCTCCTTAGCTGAGACCATACTCGTGGCTCAGCTCTTCCTGCCTAAGTAGGCAGCGGGATCAGGTCTACTAGAAAGTGGCGGTTTTGAAATACCAGTTTCTGGGCTGTGCCGCCATCGCAATCTCTGTCTGGCTCCTGTGGGAGACAGAGCTTTTGAATGGAACATTTGGAATAAAGTGCTATGATTTGTTTGACGGCAACTAGACTCGCTGTGTGCCTAAAAGGGAGTTATTGCGTGCTGTGGCTCAGAGGCACAAGTGCCTCCGCCATGCTAGCAGTGCAATGTGCAAGGCTCAGAGGAACGAGTGGCTCCGCTCTGTTGGGATGGACAGGGCAAGCAGGCAGTACCTGTTTTTGACCTTGGAAGGTCACAGCTTAGATTCTTAAGTGCTTAGTGATTTAAAACTGCAAAACAGAAATGCTCCTAGATAGTAAAAAATTACAGATTCACAATAGGACAGATTCAGACACAAAAGACCTCTAAATGGGTCATAGTAGCCTTGGGAGAGAGAAGAAAAAGAATATAGAGAATAAAGTTAATGCCTTAAAAAAGGGGTAAAGTCTTTAAAGAGACAGAGAACAAATAGTTATATATTAAAAAAATAAATAAACATAAGTCACGTAAAAATGGAAAATTCACAGAGAGTCTGGATTATGTACATTGTGTTTTCTTTAAAATTTTTGACTGTGAAGGAGCTAAATACAGAGAGACATTTCATTGTGTGAACTGCTAAACTGATCCAACATGTATGTTCTAAAGGTATCATGACTTCCAAATTTGGATCTAAGAACATGACGCTTTGGAAAGGAGGTTCTTCTTTTGTTTTCACAGAGGGTGAGACCCTGTGGATTGCTTCTATCCCAATATGGTATGATAGACCATGTCCTCCTGAAAGGTTGTTGTGAACACCCTCAAAAAATTACTTCACTCAACTGCCAACTGAGATGAACCTGACAAACAGGATATACCATGAAAGACCTGATTAACAGTGCTCCTATACAACAGGAAGAAGTTTGGAGAGAAATAACTATGTTCATATTCCCAGATATTGTTTATAAATGTTCTTTTACATTTAAAGGGGGATATGATAAAGATATGAATAATTTGCATTGGTATGGATTTTAAGGTCAATTTTGTTATATGTAATGTATTTCTGATCTTGATTAAGGTATTGTGATTGTGTAGTTCGTTTAAAAATGTAATGTATAATTAGGAAATATAGGTTAATGTATAATCATCAATAATAGTCAAGCTTGTAGTCATGTTAGATTTTCTAGATATATAGAGATATATTTCAGTTAGAATGGCATTCTTCATATCTTTCAAAGACTACAGAATATGGCATTTTAAATGTTTTAATAACTAAGGGTTTTTCATGACAATGAGACACATCTGCTCCTGGCAGCACCAGCTACTTCAAGAGGAAGATGGGCATTGAAGAGGCTCCTTATGGAGTTTGATAGCCATTTGGGCAAGAAACTGCTCTTGCCTGGACTGTTGCATAAACTGGACATGAACCTGCAGAGAGAGGACTGCTGAACTTGCTTAAAGGTGATATGGTCTTTCAGGGTTCCTGATTCATGAAAGAGTCTGCAAGACATTCTGCAGGACACAGCAGATAGTGACTGAACTGTCTTTGAATTTTCCTGCTTCATGGAAATGTCTGCTGGATACTATGGGCCTGTAGGCTGAAGATGGATGCCCCAATGGTGCAAAAGAACTTTGGGTGACTGTACAGGTAGCAAGATGTCTCTGTCATTTCTAGAATTTGGAAGTTGCTTATTTCTTGTTTACTTAGGTAATATTATATCCTTCTGGAGTCTTTGATGGAGTTGAAGAATGGTTAGTTATAGTTTTCCTTAGTTATGATAAAAGATAAAATAGATATAAATATTGTAACTGTAATTCTTGCTTGATAACTGTTTTGTTATATGTAATTTTACTATGTTAAAGTGAAAGCCTTTCTTTTTTGTTTAAACAGAAAAAGGGGAAATAATGCAAGTGGGTCTTCTTTCCATGTGTTGCTTTCATTGGTTAATTAATAAAGAAAACTGCTTGGCCTGATAGGTCAGAACATAGGTAGGCAGGGAAGACAGAACAGAATGCTGGGAGAAAGAAAGTAGAGGTGGGCAGACGCCATGCTTCTCCTGCCTAGGATGGACGTGGGTTAGAATCCTCCCGGTAAGCCACGACCTTGTGGTGATACACAGATTATTAGATATGGGTTAGCCAAGATGTGAGAGTTAGCCAATAAGAGGCTAGAGCTAATGGGCCAGGCAGTGATTAAAAGAGTACAGTTTCCGTGTAATTATTTCAGGTAAAGCTAACCGGGAGCCGGGCGGCAGGAAGCGGCCCACCATTCCTGTTACATACAGAGAGTAGGCAAAGTCAAAGAGATGCCATGTAGCTGCCAGAGGAGAAAGATACAAGCTTCCAGCCAGTAGGCTATGAACTTTGTGGTAAAATATAAAATAATAGAAACGGGTTAATTTAAAATGTAAGAGCTAATAGGTCAAGCAGTGATTTAAATAATATAGTTTCTGTGTGTTTACTGCAGGATCGGGTGGGACAGAAGCTTCCCCCAAAAGACTGGCACATTAACGTGGGCTGACTACATCCACATAAAACCTGAGAATCTAGATACAAAAAACCCAAAGTTTATCCACATTTTTTCAAATGTCTGGCAGTGTGCTGCAGCTCCCTTAAGGGTCTTCCTCAAGATCTCCTGAGTAAACTGGAAGCATGGGGACTATGGGAGAGGGCTGAAGGAGAAGGGAAAGGCAGGGAGGAAAGCAAAGAAAAATATATAGCTTAATAAAAATCAATGAAAAAAGAAAAAAAGAAAAAGAAAAGATAAAGAGAGGTCTTCCGGATTCAGCAGTAGCAGCTCTCCCCCTCCAGGGTTTGAAATGGCTGCTTCCTGGGGCGAGCTGCCAGCAAACTCTGACACTTTCAGTGGGTCCAGTTGTGAAGTATGTAAATGGGTTTTGTGAGCATAGTGCTTCAACTTGTGTAATGGTAGCATAGACCCGTTCTGTGCCTCAAAATGGGACAATGTACATGGCTCTCAGGGACAGTGAATGTGTCTCTACCATGTCGGACTGGGTGGAGCCAACAGGCAGTGCCATGGAGTTGGTCCTAGCCATGCCTACTTAGCATTAAAAAAAAGTAAAAAAAAAGGTGCTTCTGGTCAGAAAATAATTACAGATACACAATAAAGACAGATTCAGATAAAAAAAAGATCTCTAAATGGGTCACAGTTTTTAATAATTGTATGTAGGCTTGGGAGAAAGAAGAAAAAGAGTATAGAGAATTATAAAAAGAAGTAAATTGTTTTTAAAAATAAAACAAAGTCTTTAAAGAAACAGAGTACAATCATAGACTAAAAGGAGTAAAGAAAAATAAGCCATGTAAAGATGAAACATACACAGAGAGTTTAATTATGTATATTATTGTGTTTTCTTTGAATTTTTGACTGCAGAGAGATATTTGATTCTGGGGCTTGCTAAGATAAACCAACATAAAAGTATCTTGACTTCAAAATTTGGGTCTAAGGATCTGTTGCTTTATAAAAGAGGTTCTTCTTTTGTTTCCACAGAGGATGAGAACCTGTGGATTGCTTCCAGACTAATGTGGTTTGATGGACCAAGACCCTCCAAAAGGTCACTGTGAATATCCCCAAAATTACTTTGCCCAACAACAAAACAGGAAGCAGTTTGGAGAGAACTGTACCCAAATTCCCAAATATTGTTCATAAATGTTTGTTTATATTTAAATAGGGATATGGTATAGGGATCAATACTTTGAATTGGTGTGGATCTCGGTCTATTGATACAAATTTTAGGTCAATTTTGTTATATGTATTTTTCTGCTCTTGATTAAGATATTGTGTTTGTACAGTTCATTTAAAAATGTAATGTATAATTAAGAAATACAGGTTAATAGATGGTCATCTAAAATAGTCAAGCTTGTAGTCATGTTAGTTAGGCTTTCTAGATTATAGAGATATATTTCAGTTAGACAGGTATTCTTCAAATCTTTCAAAGACTAAAAGACTATGGCGTTTAAAATGTTTTAAGAATTTCAAACCTTTTATGACAGTGAGACACATCTGCTCCTGGCAGCACCAATATGTTTCAAGAGGAAGATGGGCACTGAAGAGTTTACTTAATGGAGCTAATGGAGTTAACCATTTGGGCAAGAAACTGCTCTTGCCTGGACTGCTTGATGTTATACTGTATGAACTGGACATGTAGGACCCACATTAAAATGACTGCTGAACTTGCCTAAAGGTGAGACCATTTTTGGGGGTTCCTGTTCATAAAAGAGTCTGTCAGACATTCTGTAGGACACAGAAGAAAGCAACTGATGAACTTTGTCATTACAAGGCAGAACAGATCTTCAAATTTCCTACTTCATGGAAAAGTCTGCCAGATACTATGAGTCTGTAGGCTGAAGATGGATGCCCCAATGATACAGAAGAGCTCCGGGTGACTGTCCAGGCAGTGAGATGTCTCTGTCAATTCTAGAATTTTGAAAGTTGCTTACAATGCACTTCCTGTTTACTTAGGTAATATTATATCCTTCTGGAGTCTTTGATGGAGTTGAAGACTAGATAGTTATAATTATAGTTTTCCTTAGTTATGATAAAAGACAAAGTAGATATAAATATTTTAACTATAATTTTTGCTTTATATTTTGTTGCTTGATATAATTATAATTATTGCTTGATATAATTCTGTTTGTTATATGTAATTTTACTATGTTAAAGTTAAAACCTGTCTTTTTATTTAGACAGAAAAGGGGCGATGATGTATGCTGTGAATATGTTTTAGCGTCATTGATAACAAAGAAGTTGCTTTTGGCTGATGGCTTAACAGAGTAAAGCCAAGCTGAAAGAGATATATAGAATAGGCAGAGTCAAAGAGATGCCATGTAGCCACCAGAGGAGAAAGACTTGAATCGCCAGCTGGAACCTTGCTGGTAGGCCACGAGCCTCATGGTAAAATATAAAATAATAAAAATAGGTTAATTTAAGGTGTAAGAGGTAGCCAATAAGAAGCTAGAGCTAATAGGCCAAGCAGTGATTTAAATAATATAGTTTCTGTGTGTTTATTGCAGGACTGGTGGGACAGAAGCCTCCGCCAACACACACAGATGCCCACATGTGTACATGAGTATGGAGGCCAGGGGTCAGCATCAGGTGTTTTCCTTGATGACTTCCCACCTTACATTTTGAGACAAGGTCTCTCCCTGAGGCACGCTGATTGGCTAGTCTGGATGGATCGGGAGCTCTGGGGACCCACCTGTCGCTATTGCAGCCCCTGCTCCATTACTTGACTTCTTGACCTGTGCTGCCGTTCTCAGCTTTCTGTGTAGGTGCTGGGTATCTGAACTCCCATCCTCACACTTACACTGGCAGGTGTGTTATCACTGTCTTCCTGGCCCCAGGAATTTAACTGTTTATGTGTCAAGTTTCTCATCTGTAAATTAGGTCTTGAGTCTGCTACCAAATGTCTATGGATCTTGTGAATCTCAAGGACATAGCATCTTTGAGAGTGCTTTGGGAATGGAAAATAAATCTTCAGTAAAACAGCTTAGCAACGGAGGACGAGAAGTGCATTGAGTTTCTCTGCATCTAAGTTGGGGTGTGTGAGAGAAGACTGCCTAGGAGAGAACAGGCCGCATGGCTGCTTCTTGTTTATGACAGCAGACATATCTAGCTTTCATAAGCAATTATATACTGATTGCCCACGTTCACTAGTTACTGGTACTTTGAGGTAGCTAATTCGATCCTTTTAATAAGTCTATAAAAGTTATGGTGCTGGCTTTCCAAATGAAGAAGCTGCGCAGGAGAATGGCTAAGCAGCTGGACCCGTGCCATGCACTGAAGGAGTGACCGGCCAGGATCTGACCGTCCTGTCCATTCGCCCTCAAGGCAATGGAGACAGAAGAGCAGGAGGTGATTCAGTAAAATAGTGACCACCCAGGTTGGAGCGGCTCATAAGACAAGGAAACCTTCATCCAGGAGCTTGTAATCTCTCTTTCTTTTGCCTCGTCATCCTTGTAATCCACGTACATTCACAGAGAGCCTCTCGTGTAACAGGAGCTATGCTCGATGTACAATAAAGCAATAGATAAAGCCGAGTCCCCAGAGGGCTCAGGAAATAACTGGACGGCAGAGTGCCTTGTCAGACATCTCGTTTATCCTCAGCTCAATCCTGTTAGGAAAATTGCTCCTATTGCCTGGCCGCTATTAAGGTTTTAAACATTATTGTTCTGCAGAAACGATCTGCTTACACAGCTTCCTGCCTGAGAATGGCACAGGTCCATAATAGCCAAAGATCGTCTACCCAATGATTTCATTTCATTGCAACCACACAGCGGCTCTGAAATGGCAATAATTGCCAATTGCTCTTGTTGTCTGACTACCGCTATGGAGACAGAGGGGCTTTAAGCGGCCATTCAGTAAGAGTGCAGACGAACTAATTTTTATTTTTCTCCGAATGACTCTCAAAGTGAACATCAAATTCAGAGCTCATAAAGGTCTGAAAGACCTTCTGTGATAAAATCTACATCTTTAACGACAAAGAGAGATGGGGCTATGGAACAATTCCGAAAGCCAAAGGTGGGTGCCTTCTTAAATGGTCTGTGTGTGTGTTTAGGCAATGAGTGTCATGAGACCTAAAATAAAAACAGCCACTGAAATGATGCTTGCATCTGAATTTAAACAAAGTGATACCTCTTTACCTTGCCAAGAACTGTGAAAATAACTATCTGAACATCACACTCTTCTATACCAATGTTGTTTGATCTCAGTTTTTCCGGGGGGATGGGGGGCAATGACACATGCTTTGTTAAAAACCCGCTAAAGATCAGACAAACTGTCTGCTTTGTTCATTTACACAAGCCAAGACCTTCCGAGTGAAGCTGGGTTTTCATCACTTAGCAAAGTGCCTCTCTCTCCTCACATACACATTCATCAACTGTTTTCAAAGGCACTGCTCTGTGCCAGGTGTGCTCTGAGCGCTGAGATACAGCAATGAGCAAACATGCAAATGTCGCTGACCTATGGTAACCGTGTGCGCTCACGCACGCACGTGTGTGCATGCGTGTGCACGTGTGTGCTGCCTAGTTCTGTTAATCTTGGCAGATTCTAGAATCACCTTGGGACATGGGCCTTTGGGTATCCCTGTGAAAGGTTGTCTTCTCAGAATAATTAATGTAAGAAGACCCATCCTAATTTCAGGTGGGACCATTCCCGGGACAGAAGATCCCGGACTGTATGAAGTGGAAAAGGCATTAGGAACACTAACATGCCCTCATTCGTGGCTCTCTTTCCCCTGAAAATGGATGCAATGTTACCAGCTTCTTCCAGCATTTACTACAACTTGCTCACCATAAAGGTCTGTACCTTGAACTGTGGGGAACAAAATAAACATGCTCTTGTCAGGGTGTTTTGCACAGTAAAGGGACCAAGCCAGGTGGGGATGGAACTAGCACACAATAGTTCGGAGATGGTGCCGGGGTGGGGGGGGGAGGCGGGGAGTAATGGGAATAAGATGGGTGAGTGTAAGTTGGTACATATTTGATTATGGGATAGTTTTTTGAGCTAGGAAAGTGGGGCGGCATAACTAATGTCTTTGCTTCAAGTTTTCTCAGGAAGTCACATTCAATGTGGAAGAGTTGGCAGGATGCAGGTGGTGGCTGGCTAATGGGCAAAGAGGACTCAGTGCCTTGCTGACTGTTGGCTGGGTGGCTTCCACCATCGCTAGCCATGCTAATCTCTATATAGTCACGTGGTGTGATAGTTGGTGTCCCTCAGAGTCAGAAAGCAAGGAAGAAAATGAAAGAATATACTTAAGATGGAAAACAGGATTGTTGGAACCTCATTTGCAAAGTAGCGCACCATCATGGTTGCCTCTTTTATGTACTGGAAGCAACTGGCTCCATCGCATATTCATGATGGTGTGAGAACCACGAGGGAGGGGCTGTTGGGGATCATCTGAGATGAAATCCTACTATGGTCAGTAACTCTTTAATGAGATGACATTTGACCAGATGCCTAAAAACAAAAAGGAAGTATGGTTGTAGCTGCCTGGGAGAAGAGCACATGCGGCCAAGGACGCAGCCAAAGACTAAAGGGGGAGCAGCCCAAGAGTCAGTCAGAGGCAGCACTGGAGGAGGCTGGGTGGGTGCAGGGAGTGTGGACAATTTGGATATTTTACTTTCAGTGAGACGTGAGGGCTTTGGGGTGAGGGGTTGTTAGTAGAAGCATGGCCTAATTTGGCTTTTGCTTTAAGAGGAGACTGGATTGGAGGAGTGTAAGCTAGCAGAAGTGGCAGTCTCTTGCAGCAGCCCATCTGAGGGATGATAAGAAAGGGTCATAGCTGGAGTAAAGAGGAGTGGGTGGATTCTGGAAATACTTCCTCCAGCAGTTAACAGGATGTGTGACGGTTTCTGTGTGGATTGTACAGTTACCAATAAGTCGGCGATGATACTTGGGTTTTGGTCTTGGCAAGTAGAACAGCGCAGCTGCCCTTTGCTAGACTGGGAGACCCTGCTGGGGGACAAAGTGCCGAGAAGATACGAATGAGAGGTTTTATGTGGGAGTCTTCCTAACAGATGTTGTTGGCCATGAAGTCTTGGTCTCCCAAGGCTTCTGGCCCCTGGAGATGGCGGGTCTGTTCTTTTCTGCCTGCTTCAGTGGCAGGTCAGCTGGGTGTCTATTCCCTGGAGCACAGATCTCTGTTTAGGCGGGTCTGGAGGCTGCTCCTTTTCAGCCCCTGGCTTCAGTTCTTGGAACAAAAAAATCAGTACAGTGTGGGAGGAATAGAAGCATCAGAAATGTAAACCTACTGTCCCTGCATACTATGCCCTCATAGGGCTTAGGGGGCAGCTGTCCCCTCTCTTTTCTTTCATGTCTCTCGTAATAAGTACGGGTAGATGCCTATGTCTTCTCTGCTGAAATAGCTGGCACAAGCTGTGACTCCACCCCTTGGGCTTTTACTGTACCTTGTAACCTCTGGGATCCTGATGTTAATGGAGATTCTCTCTGCTTAGTGATTTTGCTGTGAACACGGAGTGGGATTTAATCTCATTAACAAAGTTACCAATTCCTATCTTCTCTGTATGAAGCCTAGCTACTACTTCCTCCCTAGTATACATAAGTGACAAGAGAAATTGGCCATGTTTTTCTTGATGGACTAACAAAGATGGTTGTTAGCCAAGGGTGGCCAACAAGAATGAACCAAAGCTATACTCCAATTACTCTCATGTGTATATGTACATACCAGTTGTGGCTAAGGAATGTAAAATATGGAAGAAGCTGATGAGACACATTGTGAAAATATTGTCTTATGAGTGTATGGCTAAATACAAATTCTCCAAAATGACTGCAATGGGCCAAAGCTCTATTTGTAACCAGATAATGAGTGAACAAAGATAAACACAAGCTGGAAAACCCCACAGACGAACATCAGCAATAGTTCACCATCCTAAAATCTTACCCTTGAAAAACAACGTGAATGAGAGAAAGTCCAGTAAAGACAGAAATTACCTGAAGTTCCCAGACAAACATTAGCAATAGTTCAAAATCCTAAAATCGTATCCATGAAAAACAATGTGAAAGAGAGAAAGTCCAGTGAAGACAGAAAGCACCAGAAGAAGTTCCAGAAGGTATGAGGACAGAAGCAAGCGCAGGCTGCCCCACAAAGATGTCTTCACGAGAGCTGCAAGCGGCCAGCTAAGCAGCCCCACTGAACTGTTCACATTGGGTGTGAGAACTGGGGGCCCAAACATGTAGGCAATGGATGGTAACACCACGTGGGAGTCACTGGTGAACAGGTGTGCATCATTGTTTAGAGAAGGTGTAACTGTTGACTGAAAAGCACTCTGTAATTCACCATCCTTCTATAACTTTGGGCCATTTTTTTTTCTCCTGAAACACTTACTCCATCTTTAGGGAAAATTTCCAGGACAATCTGTGATCTCTGAGGTTGATCGTAGTATACCATTTAACAGTTGCTGGTATTGGTAGATTGCTGTGGGACAATGGTCTTTTATCCTGTCACTTGTATTATTTTAATAAAATGTTGATTGGCCAGTAGCCAGGCAGAAAGTATAGGTGGGGTGACCAGGCAGGAAGTAGAGGCGGATAACCAGAACAGAAGAATTCTGGGAAGAGGAAAGAGTCAGTCTGCAGTTGTCACCCAGACACAGATGAGAACCCCTCACTGATAAAAGGTACCAAACCACATGGCTAACACAGACAAGGATTAAGATATAGAAATTAGTTAATAAGAAGCCTGAGCTAATAGGCCAACCAGTTTATAATTAATGTAGACCTCTGTGCAATTTTTTGGGACTGAACGTCTGCGGGATTGGACAGGACAGAAACCTCTGCCAATGGTAGATAGTTTACACACACACACACACACACACACACACACACACACACACACACGTTTCAAAGAACAGCAACAATGAGCTCTTACCATATGGGACAGGTTGTCCTTGAACTCATGATCCTCCTAGAGTTTTGGAAGGAGGATAACCATCCTGAGTGCTGGGATTATAGGTGACCATTTCAAGCTTTAGTTTGCAATATGAACTGCATGTTTGCTTTATGTTTGCCATAGTTTAGCTTTGAACTATCTTACAAAGGTGTATGTATTAAAGACTCGGTTCTCAGCCTGGTGGTTTTGGTACATGGTAGGACCTTTTGGAGAGTTTTGCAACTAGTGGGAGTTTTTCAAGTCAATGTGAGTGTGTACTTGAAGGGGATTGTGGGAATCCAGAACCTCGCCTTTCTTTTCTTTATCTATCTCAGAGGGTCTTGCTATGTGGCCCAGGCTGGCCCTAGAACTCTCATTCTTCCTGCCTTGGTTTCCTCAGTGCTACAAGCACGATGCTCAGATTTTCTCTTCCTCCCATTTGCTTGCAGATTGAGACTTCTGCCACGTGCTCCTGCCGTGATGGTCTGCTACCCCTTAGGCCAAGGAGCAACAAGGCTAATCTGTCATGGACTGGGACATCCAAAACTATGAACCAAGACAAACCTTCTCTCTTTGTAAGTTGATCATCTTGATCTTTGTTATGGTGAAGGGTTGCTGACTTCAGTGTTTGGACCAAGTGCCACTTGGATGCAAAATGCAAATTTGTGCAAACAATACGCCATTTAACATTACATGGATATTTAACAACCACAGGAAGGCAGGGCTAGGATGCTCTGAGATCTTGGAATGATTTCTTTGCTTGATAATTACTCAGTGTATGTTTATATCAAATGAGCTCAACTGGTTTCTTTTAATAAGATAAGTGATTAAAAACTACTACCTTGGACAAGCTATGGCACAGACGGTAAAGTGCAAGACTAACTACTGAGTTCAATTCCCAGAACCTTCGATGGAAAGAGAGTCTAACCCCTTACTGTGTCTTCTGATCTACACAGATGTGTCATGGCACACCCCCTCAAATCTCTCTCTCTCTCTCTCACACACACCAGCAGCAGCAGCAACAATAACAACAAATCCACAATAAAAATAAGAAATAAAGAATGCTTCACAAATTCAGCCAGATATGGTTACTCACATTTAATAATTGTGAAACCTAGTACTTGAAAGGCTGATGCAGGGAGGGGGGCAATACAAATTGAAGGCCAACGTGCTCTACCTATCAAGTTCCAGGCCAGCCTGGGCTACCGAGTGAGAACATGTCCCAAAACTCCACAAAATGGGCTAGAGAAATGGATTAGCAGTTAAAGACACTTAATTTCTCTGACAGAGGCCCTGGGTTCAGTTCCCAGCACCCACATGAGGGCTCACAAGCATTGGTAACTCCAGTTCCAAGGGACTCACCATCCTCTTCTGGACTCTATGAACACTAGGCACACATGTGGTACAGAGATACACATGCAGGCAGATTACCCATACAAATGAAAAAAAAATAAAGTCACAAAAACATATACAACCAAATAAAACCACAGAATTCTAAGGTTTTTTTTTTTTTAAATAAGGTTTGGCAACTATTTCCCAAATGTACTCTGCTCTCTTAAAAGATGCAGCCTTGGCTCTGAGCTGACAGCTACTGGGTGTAATGAATTCGCAGCAGGTGGGCCTGCACTTCAGTTTGGAGTTCCTGCCTCTTAGTCCTCCAACTGCCTTGCCTTGTCACACTCCCATCACCACGTTTCCCACTGCCCAAGGAACACACACACACACACACACACACTCACACACACACACACACTCACACACACACACACTCACACACACACACACACACACACACACACACAAACTCGTGCTGGCACGTGCACAAACACCACTCTCAATAACACAGTAGACAGAAGTTGATTTGCTCTTGAGGGAAGCTCTTAACTATAAAGAGTATAGGCAAAATCCAGGCACTATTGGCTGAATGTATGTTGCCTCTTTTGTTCTCCTTAAACCTCATTTTCGAAGCTTCTGACCTCTGTAGTCCAGCACTTTCTCTAGATTCTGCACCTGCCCAACACATGCTGCTTCTTTCCCTCAATTTTGCGCCAGTTTTCAGCCAGTGAGGGCGCCCCAGTCAAAGGACACGAACATCGTTTCCTTCTCGGACCCTGCCCTGGCACTAATCTCATATTTGCCATATGTTTTCCAAGATACTAGTGGCTAGCCTTTGGTTAACTTCTCTGTGTATCTCCCAGGCCCAGAGTTTCCTTCATTTCCTAGGGACAATACCACAAGGTGGGGATGAGATGATAGGGGCAACCTATCACCTTTCTGCCATAGTCGAAAAGTCTGCGTTCCTCTCAGAGCCACCTGGCTGAAGTGTTAATTTCCATGGCAATGGTAGGCCATAAGCACTGAGTCCTCGTGAGTAGGATGAACGCTCCTGTAATAGGGCCCTGAGAAATCCTCACCTCTTCCTCCATGTGAAGTTAGACTGAGATGAGAATATGGGTCCTTTTCATAAATGACATCTACTGGTGCCTCCATCTTGTATGAGAAAACCAGTTCTGTTATTTAGAAGTGACTCATGCTATGGTGTATTGCTATAACAGCTCAAGCTGACTGAGAGAGTACTCAGTAGTACTGCAGTGAAGACCCTAACACCACCCCCAACCCCATCTGGGCCCTACTCCAACCCCAGCCCAGCCCCAGGTCCAACCCCAGCCTCAGGCCCACTCCTAGCCCCAGTCCTAACCCCAACCCTAACCCCAGCCTCAGCCCCAGCCTCAGCCTCAGCCTTAGGCCCAACCTCCATAGCCAGTTGGTGCTCTGAAAGAAAGGGTGTTAAAGACCTTTGCTCAGAGCTATTCTGTATCAGCCTGGCTCCAGCTGGTGATAAAGCCTTAGTGGTCCTGAGCAGTCTGCTGCCCTAAAGCAGACACTGGCGCCATGCCATTTGAGTTTTAACTGAAGAGCTGTTCTTTTTTTTTTGTTTTTTTTTCTTCAAGGTTTGATTGATTATTTGTTACTCTTAAAGACTCTTATTTTTATCTGGACTCAGACTTGTAGAACCTCTCAGCAAGGACAGCCTACATGTCTTGTTAATCTGTTCCTGATGTTTTTCTTTGGCTTCCTTCATTTCTTGCCCAAAAGTTTAGCATATTGTGCAGCCTCCTCACTTTTCTTAGTGTGTTGTTTGTTCAGAGCAGCGTGGTGGTGTTTGCGTTGTAGGACAGTACTAAATCTTGGATGCTTTGATCTTGGGCTTCTTACCGTCAGTGGTTCTCAGCCTGTGGGTTACGACATCCTTTGAAGGTCGAATGGCTGTTTCACAGGGGTCACCTAAGACCATAACTTTAGCATAACGTTGTAAGCCTTTGGTAACATAAAGTGACCATGAATATCTGTACACTTCAGATGTGGTAGGAACTAAAACCTTATTGAGATATAATTCCCATGCCATACATGCCGCTCATATAGAGTGTAACTGCCTCACAGAGCTGTATAACCGCCACCATAGGCAGCTCTGGAACATCCCCAAACCACCTTTTCCTTCAAATCTTTATTTTCCAGCGGTCATCTCTCATCTCTCCTAGCCCCTTGCCCCCAGAAATCCATGTTCTGCCTATGATTGTCTACTTAGGTCATCTTCTGCACAGGGATACTGTGTGGCCTTTTGTAACCAATATCTTTCATTTAGCATGAATTTAAGGTTCATCCATGGTCTAGTCTGTGTCAGTATTTCATTTTTTTCAATGCCAAGTAATTTTCACGCTTTTCTACTTGTAACCAAATAATTGATTCAGCTTCTTGTGTTCCTACAAGTTGTCAAGAAACTCAGCTTCAGTCTTTTTACTACTCTGTATGTATGTGGTGTCAAGTGTTGTGATTCCCAAGCAGAGCTGCGATGTCAGAGAGCCAGGAAGGCATTAGTCTCTCCACATGGGTTATGAGATGCCTCTGCTCCCCTTTATGAGGTTCTTTAATTGTCAACCTTAAGTTGTTTTTTTTTAACTGAAGCATTAATTTAATTAAAAAATTTAAAAAATAAGGAGTCAAATATTGGGGTAAGAACCTGAAAACTCAGAGAACTGGGAGTAGCTGCCAGTTGCTTCCTAGCTCCCTTGTTCCTCCATCCAAAAGGCTGAGATCCTCTCTCAGTTACCTTCCCATGTCCTGTCCTCTCGCTACAGTCCTCCAAACCTCTGTGGTTAGCCCTGCCCTCTGACTCCAGTTCCACTTCCTGTCCTCTCTCTACAGTCCTCCAAACCTCTGTGGTTAGCCCTGCCCTCTGAGGCCAGTTCCACTTCCTGTCCTCTCGCTACAGTCCTCCAAACCTCTATGGTTAGCCCTGCCCTCTGACTCCAAGTAAGCATCATTTGTCACCACACAATCAAAATATCACACAACAGCTAATCTTTGGAATATGGGAACTACTGTGGTTGGGGAAGCCAGGGCTAACATTCTACTGGGATTATTTTTTTTTTTTTAAAGAAAGCTCAGGTATGGTGTCAAAGTCCTTTAATCCCAGCATTTGGAAGACAGAGGTAGGCAGGTCTCTGAGTTCAAGGCCAGCCTGGTCTATGAGTGAGTTCCAGGACAGCCAGTGCTACACAGAAAAACTTTGTCTCGAAAACTAAAGTGGGGTTGGGGGTGGGGGGAGTGTGGGTGCATGCAAGTACGCATGCATACACTTATGCTTTCTGAGACAGGTTGCTCACTAGAACCTGAAATTTGCTGCCAGTGAGACCAAGCTGGTTGCGCAGTGAGCCCCAGCAATCCTCCTGTTTTTGTGTCCCCATTATTGGGACAATGAACACACAATGTGTGTCACAATGTCCAGCTTTTATGTGTGTGCCAGTGACTGAAGTCAGGTCCTTGGGCATCTCTCCAGCTGCTAACATTTCACTGCCTGGTGCAGCAGTGGCAGCATCTCTGAGGACCTGCTGTGTCCTTGGGCTATGATAGAATACAGAAGATCTTGGATTCTGATTCTTCCATCAACTCAGAATTTTATTGCAGAAAAGGGGTTTTCCTCCCTCAAACTGAACTGGACTCTACTGTTATTTTAGTCTTCTGAAAACCAAAGACAGGCATTTCAATCCCAAACTTTCCCAGAATGAGAACACATCTCAAGAGAGAAAAAACAGATGGGGAAATATGCTAATGCAAAAAAGTAACTTGCTTTGGAGTTCATTTCTCATCATTCAGATCTTGGCACTAGTGCAGTTTCATAATGTAGTTGAGCATTTTTATATTTATCTATTTATTTATCCTGTCTATCTATCTGTCTGTCTGTCTGTCTATCTATCTATCCACCTATCTTTTAATTCTTTCCTGAGTCACAGATACCTGTCACTCTTCTCTGGTGCCTTTAAAATTCTCATTAATGTGTGGCTGTTGAGAGAAGGTCCCTTTGTTTGCCTCAGCCACCTGGCTAGCTTACACCCGAAATAACCACATAGAAACTGTATTCATTTAAGCACTGCGTGGCCCATTAACTCTAACTTCTTATTGACTAATTCTTATATCTTAATTTAACCCAGTTCCATTAATCCATGTATTGCTACATAATTGTGGCTTACCAGCAAGATTCTAACCAGCATCCATCCCAGGCAGGAGATCCATGGTGTCTGTCACTTTGCCCTTCTTCCCAGCATTCAGTTCTGTCTACTCCGCCTACCTAAGTTCTGCCCTATCAAATGTCCAAGGCAGTTTCTTTATTCAACCAATGAAAGCAACACATAGACAGAGGGACCTCCTACACCATGTGGCTGAGAAGGCAGCAAAATCCTTGCAGACACATTAGCGTTTGCTCTTGTGCAGTATATTGGTTTTGTTGAAGTATATGGAGGGAACCTGGAGTCACAGGGGTATTTTAGTAAGGACATACTTGTGGATTGAGGATTCTGTCCTGGTTGGTTCCCGCAGTTTTTAAGTCCCGAAAAAAATCACACAGAGGTCTACATATAAACTGATTGGCCTAGTATCTCAGGCTTCTTATTAACTCTTATAACTTATATTAGCCCATAATTGTTGTCTGTGTTAGTCATGTGGCTTGGTACCTTTTTTGGTGAGACAGTCACATGTTGCTTGCTCTGTGTCTGGCTTCCTCTCTGTCTGGGTGGCTACTGCAGACTGAAACTTCTCTCTTCCCAGAATTCTCATTGCCCCACCTCTACTTCCTGCCTGGCTACTGGCCAATCAGTGTTTATTAAAAATACAAGTGAGAGGGTACAGACCATTGTCCCACAGCACATACTGTGTTAATGACCCCCCCATGGGTAATTCTGTCTGCTGTCCAGACCTCAGTTAGAAGTACTTTCACAAACATGAGTCTTTTTTGCTTTGTAGTGACAAATTTGCCCAGTTTATTTTCAAGCCGATGACTGATAAATTGGAACTAGATTTCTTTAAAGCAAAAGAAACATTTCATGTTGCGATGTAAATCACAACACAATTACTTTCCCAGGAACAATTGTAATACCTTTTCCTGCAGGAGAAGTCCTTTAGACACACTTCCCAGCTTGTCCCACAAGGATGTGGTAAAGAGCCGTACTGGCATGTTGAGATTTAGTGAAATGGATGATTGAATGCTTCACCAGGAGCACGCTTCAGTAAGTCTGTCTGTAGGAAAATGCCCAGGTTGATGAATACAGTCCCTTTAAATCACTTTCCCTTCTCTGTCTCAACAGGGTCTTGCTATGTAGTGTAGGCAGACCTTAAATTCATGATCTTCCTGCCTCAGCTTCACAGAAGTGTGTTACAGAAGAGGTGCTCCTTCTGTCTTCTCCTTCCTTCTCTTCCTTTCCTTCACTCACTTATTGTCAACACAATGGTGAAAAATACATTGATCTATAGTTACAGTTTGGGGTCATTGCCACACCTTGAGTTAAGATGTGAACATTTTGACCTAGTATTACTTTTTGCTATCAGTGTAAATGTCCAACACAGGGAGAAAGGCAAATTATTTCTTTAATATTATTGTGAATAATTTTGCTCTCATAGATTTCCTAAAACTGTTCCCAGGACATTGTAGGCCACCCACAGGAAGGACGACAGAGAAAATGAAAGGCTCCAAGAGGTGAGAGTGATGTTTCCTGACATATTGCTAAGACAATGTGTCCTAGCAGGTGCCCATTGTCCTCCTCATTTGTCCTGACCATGCAGGGTGTAACCGGAGCCTTTGGGAGCCCCGACACTGAAGCAGGCATCTTCCCTTGCTTTGCCACCAGCTCCTGTAGATTGTTTCTGCCTTTCTTGCAACTGTAATGACCTTTCTACCTCAGCTTCACAGAATGCTGAATAAACCCTCTAGAAATACGGCTGACCAGAAGTAGAAGTACTCCTGTTTATGGTCTGAAAGCATCTCTTCCTTAATGGGACTGTATTAGTTACTTTGAACTTCCTTTCTATACTTTTTTTCTTTGACTTGAAACTGGAAAGTTGGGGAAAGTTCCTGATGTTTTAGGTTGGCCATGGGGACAACCAGCAGGGAAGCCTGCACTTAGTCCTGCCATGGACAAACCCATATGGAATCTTTGAACTGTGAGTCTATGGGACTCCCTTCTAAACTCCTGAGGGCTTGTTTGTATAAATGCATGGCACATGTCAGCCTGAACTGAGTGCCCAATTCCTTGCCATGATCCTCTATTGAGGCCAAAGACTCCGTGGAGGAAAAACAAAACAAAACAAAAACAAACAAACAAAAACAAACAAACAAACAACATGGGAGAATGGGTAACTAGTGGGACTAAATATATTTGGAGAGTTCTGAGTTAACCATGCTAGAATAAGCCCTTATTCACGTCTAAAATACTGTTGTGTTTTGTAGATTTTAGAGGAATTGTTTCAGAACCATAAGCTTTGACAGGCTTCTAAGAGTGTCTAAGACTGGTTGTGGTCTTTGGAAGTTTATCTGTTTATTAAAAACATTATTGACAAAGGGCCTTCAATGAGCCAATGTTGTTCTAGACCTGGGGGTGGAGGAGTGAATAAAATAGATGCCGCCCATGTATTCATGAAGCTTCTAGTCTAAAAGAAAAAAAAGACAAAAATCTAAGCAATAGCTAATTTTACATAGAAGAATGTGTGAAGGAGGCAGCACGGCGTGCTGAGACCATGACACTGAGAAGGAGCCAGGAGAACTGGGTAGCAGAGGATCTGAAGCAGAGAGCAGGAAGCCCAGGGACCTAAGGTGGAAACGCTTGCAGCAGCAGTTTTGAAGAACAGACTGAGGTTGACGTGGCATGATTGCAGTGAACTGATGATGAGATCGGAAACTTTGGGACTCTGAAGCCGTGTGCAGTATCTTTGTCTCATTGGGATACTGTGGTAAAATAACCATGAACTAGGTGGCCTCACCGTCAAGCTTTTGTTTTTCTTAGTTCTAGAGGCTGGAGGCTCAAATACAGTCTCTGAGGAGACCTTTCTTCCTGGCTTGTAAATGAATGCCACTGTATACACACATGGTAGACAGAGGGAGAGGTTAGGGGCCAGGTAGAGGGAAAGGGAAGGGAGAGGGAGAGGGAGAGGGGAAGGGGTGAAGGAGAGAAAAATTTTCACAATGATTTCTTCTTCCTTCTTCTTTCTTCTTCCTCCTCCTGTTCCTTCCTATTCCTTCTTTTTTCTCTCCTTCCTTCACCTCCTTTTTATTTTTCTCTTTGAGACAGGGTCTCTTACAGCCGACGCTGACCTCAAATTCCCTGTGTATTTATTGTGACCTTGAACTTCTGATTTTCTTGACTCTATATCCCTAGTGCCAGGATTACTTGTGCACACCCCCCCCCCCGGGTTTGCTGTCTCTTGGACTCTTCATTCATCCCATAACTGAGTGTTTAATGCCAAGTTCTAATTAATTATTAACCCAAATGCCCATCTCTAAATAGCCCCATCCTAGAGTTTCAAATTCTGGGGACAAAACATTTAGTCTGTAGCAGCTGGACATTTGGATTATATCTTAAAGAAGATAGGAAACAACCGGAAGGGTTACAGTAGGGCATAACATGGCATGGCATGAGTTTTGATTAACTCTGCTAGTGTGTGTGTGATTGATTGGAGGGAGAAATGACAGCAGCGAGGTAGAATTGAGAGCCAATGGCAGTGGGCTGGGATAGGAGGACAGGTATGAAGAGAAGAAACATTTGAAGGTGTAGTTTAGAGGTAGAATAAAAGTTAAGACATCAGAGATGAGACTCATTTTGCCTCTGTGTTTCAGAATGAACGACAAAAGCAGGGGCTAAATTATCTATGACCAAAGAGGAACAAATGTGAGATGGATGGAGGGCAGCCTGGAGTCAGATACTCTTCAACCGAGGAAATCAAAACTCTTGTTTTGTATGTTGTGCCATGAGCAACCAGTGTTCAGCTCTGGGGAACCAGAACCTCGCAAACCACATCATGACCAAGCAAGCTATTTGATTAATCAAGTTATTTTCTGCTCAAAAAGCATTCCAAAGGTAGACCTAGCTAGGATGGCAGCCTATGGATGGCACTGAGATCCAAAGAGTTTGACTTCTCCTTGGCTCTTCTTCCTGTGTCTTTCACTCTCTTCAATGTGATATGAATGTAGCATCAACAACATTAGCACTCAAGGTTTAAAATGGGATAGGAGAAGAAGGAATGGGAAATGTATGTGTCAGGAAAGCAGAAGCTTTGCCAGAAACTCCTAGCAGAATTCAGAAAAACTCATGGACCAGAATTACTTGTGTACAATTCTGGAACCAAGAAGGCTTGGATTTCGGTTGGATACATTGGCCCACTAGACAAAGCTGGGGAAGAGTTAAGTGGACATTGTGGATCCAGGTAATCAGCAATGTCTTCAAGGACTCATTAAATTTCCTGGTGAACATCCCAATAGCAAGTCATGCGAGGTTAGAAAGCCAGGCATCAAGTTTGGAGGAAGAGTAGAAGTAAGACAAGAGCTTGGCTGTGTCTACATCACTGCCACAGAACACCTCGCAAGAACAGTGTAAAGAAGTGTGGTGGCTCATCTTCACTGTCAACTCGACAGGATTCAGAATTGTCATGGAAACAAATCTCTGGGCATAGATAGCAAGGAGTAGGCTAACTGAGGTGAGAAGACCCACACTAACTGTAGGCAGCACAGATCCACAGGTGGAGGTCCTGGACTGGATAAAGAGGAGCGGACAAGCCAAGCATGAGCGTGTGCCACTCTCTGCTTCCTGACTGTGACTGTCATTTCCCCTTGACCTCCGGCTCCTGTCGCTGTGCCGTTTCCACCGCCATAGACTGTACCTTCCAATTCTGGCCCCAAATAAACCCTTGCTTTCTTAAGTTGCTTTTACAGTGACAAGAACCACATTAACCAATTAACCCAGCCTAGGAACTCCTTTACACACATACCAAGTGGTATGTCTTCCAGGTCATTCTAGATCATGTCAGGTAGACTATATTAACCATCATAGGAAATTATTAACATGTAGCTACATTAAAATCCAAGAGAAAATATGATGTAAATTAGGGAGATAGTACAGTTTGAAACTTGTCAAACTTTTGGATTTATTACTGTGACTTGCCTCAATTAATTTTATTACCTCAATAAAATTTTAATATATACTTTTCCTATGTCAGAAACTGTTTTGAACTCTCAAGGCTCTCAAAGATGTCTCTTTTTTTCCAAGAGGCTTAAAGATAAAAAGAAAGCAGATAAGTTTTATACAGTGTTTTTTTTTCCTAAATAACATGAACTAAAGTTAACTCATTCTTCTTTTTTTTTAAATTCATTTTATTTACCAACCACAGTTCCCGCTCCCTCTTCTCTTCCCACTCTCTCCCACCTATCCCCCAATCCACTCCTCAGAAAGAGTAAGGTCTCCCATGGGGAATCAACAAAGCCTGACACATTAAGTTGAGGCAGGACCAAGCCCCTTCTCCTTGCATCAAGGCTGGGCAAGGCATCTCACCATAGGGAATGGGCTCCAACAAGCTAGTTCAGATACCAAGGATAGATCCTGGTATCACTACCAGGGGTCCCAGAAACAGACAAAGCTACACAACTGTCACCCTTATGTAGAGGGCCCAGTTAGGTCCCATGCAGGCTCCCCAGCTGTCCGTCTAAAGTCCATGAGCTCCTACAAACTTGAATTAGCCATCTCTGTCATGATCTTAACCTTTTTTGCTCAGGTCTCCAGGAGCTCAGCCTACTGCTTGGCTGTGGATCTCTGCATCTGCTTCCATCAGTTAACTCATTATTCTTGTTTCATTTCTGTTGCTTCACAAACACCCCCAGCAAAAGCTCCTTCTGGGTGAAGAGGTTTGTTTGCACTTACAGCTCCAGATCACAACCCATTACTGAAGGAAGTGAAGGCAAGAGCTCTGAAGGCAGGATTCCCTGCCATCCCACGCAGCATTGCCTTCAACCAAGGAATTTGTCTCACAGCCGGGAAGTACAGCAGGAATGGAGAATGTTATCTGTTTGCTAGGTGGCAGGCAGGCTAATACTCAACCAGCCATGGCTTACAGCTCGGAAACACCTTCCTAGGGATTGTGCTGCCCACAGTGGGATGGGCCCTGCTCTATCAATTAACAGTCAAGGCCCTTCCCCACAGCCATGCCCATTGGCCAATCAGTTAGAGGTAATTCCTGAGTTTAGCTCCTCCTCTCAGGTGCGTCTTTGGCTATGAGAAGTTGACAGTTAAAACAGATAGGACACTCATTTCCATAGACTGATTGGAATGTATCTGAATTATTGTTATGGCTTCACAGCAGATTCGCTTTTTAGAGGATTTAAGTGATTTACAATTAGCCCTGCACCTGCCTATGTATGTGTTTATGCACATTTTGATTTGGAAGTTTAGTAAGAAAACTAAATATAGTTAAATAATATAGTTAAATAATAATCTTAGTAGTAAGCTGGCCATTAAAATTAATGGAATACATTATGGAATGTTAAATTAACCTTGGTATTTTGAGCAAAAGGAGCTGAAGTCACTTGTCATGTGACTCTGGTTTAGATTAAGGCTGAAGCATCCTTCCCCGACTTACTTTCTACCTGTAATTTTACTTAGGAGTCTAAAGGATGCTCAGTGTTGTTGGAGGAGGCTTATTGTTTTGTTTTTGGCTGCTCAGCCCCAAAATAATCACACAGAAACTGTATTATTTACATCGCTACTTGGCCCACTAGCTCTAGCTTTTTGTTGGCTAACTCTTACATCTTAATTTTACCCATTTTTAGTAATCTGTGTATTGCCACGAGGCTGTGGCTTACTGGGTAAAGTTTTAGCATCTGTGTCTGGCGGGCTACATGGCTTCTCTTTCACTCTGCCTCCTTTCTCCCAGCGTTCAGGTTAGTTTTCCCCACCTACCTAAGTTCTGCCCTATCAATAGGCCAAGGCAATTTCTTTATTAACCAATGGTATTCACAGCATACAGAGGGGAGTCCCACATTACAATGTTATTACGTTCCAAACTAAGCTCTTCATCTTTCCCACCTCTAGCTTCTTCCCCTGGATCATGTTTTTCTGGATTCTATTTATCACAAGTAACATTTATTCTTTTGACTTATGCAAGAACTCAAGATGCCGTTCTAGAGAATTCTGTCTCCTTCACTTTGCTGTTTATCAACAACACCTAGTGGATTTTCTTTTTGAATCTGTTCTGTCTCCTTTGTGCTGGGTCATCAGCACCTCAACTCCATTCTCAGGCCTGCTTCTTAAAAACCCAGCTCTGTGCTGGAATGAGAGATTCAGGTCTTATTCAGATGATAACCCGGCTGACTCTCTTCTAGGGTTTCAGTGCCAATGATGTCCTGCAGTTGAATCTGAGCTGACATATTCAGGAATCCACAGAGCCTACACTATGCAAGTGTGTACATGTGGAGCATTAAGAGGGGGTGACAGTCAAGACATTTCTAAACCTAAGTCACAGTGAAGTCATTAATTTGAAGACTGCTATTCTCTATAACATGCTTTATAAGACTTGGTTTATGCAGTTTGATCTACAGAAAGGAATTGGTTGTTCACACCAAAACCTATCAGGCCTCATATGACCTGGTCCTCACCTTCCTCAGAAGCCTCAGATGACCTTTTCCCACTGTGAACTTCACAAAACTCAAAACAGAAAGCCACATCCTGTTCCTTTGTGCAGTGTGCCCCTCCCCATGATTCTGCTCAAGCTGTTCTCTTTGTAATACTCTTCTCCATTTGTTTAGCCATGCTCATTACTCAGCTCGGGACTCAAAGACCTAAATTTTATGTTGAGCTAAAGGTGTGTCTTCGGAGGCCATGATCTGTGTATGTGTCTTTTCACCCACTTTACCTGGGGAATAAGTTCAAGTCATCTTATTGTGGTGGTTGTAGTCATGGTAGTTATGGTGCTGGTGAACGTTAAACTACGGCAGAAGAAGCAGTCAGGGCTGTGGGAGGCTGAGGAACCTGTTGGATGTTCATGCAGTAGGTGATGAGCAGGGCTTTGAATTCAGACAGCTCATTCCTAAGGCTGCCCCTGTACATCCGACACCAGCACAACATCTGGTGATGGACACTTGGTAAGTGCCCATTGATCTAAACTCAGAGCATGTTCCCTGCATTTCCAAGAAGTTCTAACATTAAAGAAGCCGAGCATGATGTAGCAAAGAGAATCATCTGCTGTTGAGTTTTACTTCTGGCAAAACTGGTAATTTAGACAATGAAAGTACTGAGAGTAACCGGCTCACCAGATCACCATCAACACACTTGTACTCTTTGGCAAGTGCTCCAGAGCGGGGCAATCCTTGCTTTACATCTGTGTAAGCCTCTGCAGAGTAAAACCAGACTGGTGTTTTATGGAGATCCTCTATCTTGCCACCTATCTTTCCATTCAAAGTCCAGTGGGAATCTCTTGTTGGAAGTGAATGTGAGAAATTTTCTACCTCAGAGATACGTTCATATACAAAGAGGTATGGGTTTGCAAGCGAGGCTAGCAGTTCATTAAAATATTGTAGGAGCTGAGCGCTGCTTCTGGGCCTCCCGAGACTGTTTTTCACAGTTACACATGAGTTTATGAGAGCTCTTTAAAATATTGCTAGGTGGCTTGGGAATAATTGAAGTGTCTTCAAGTAGGTCTCTAAATTGGTATTTTTAATTAAAATAAGTTCAAATTTATTATTTTCGTTATGGTCTGTGAAGATATCACAAAAGTCATCATGACCTGATTATACTTTTGAATTATAAATGAGAGATGTGGGGTTATGACCTCCATAAGCCTTTTCTTTGCTTCTTAATTAAAATTCTCAGGCGAAAGAAAACTCCGAAAACAGAGTACTGACTTAGAAGTGATAGAAAGATGGTAACTTCCATGGTATGTGTGAAAGGAATTTGTTTTAGAGTCTATTTTGTAGTAGATCAAATAATCCATTGTTTAGAATAAAGACCTGCATAACTTTCTATTCCCAGTTAAACAATGGGAGTTCTTGCACATGCCTGGATGGGTGCTTGCTTGTTAACGATGAGCTGTGCCACGTGTCACCAATTATTTAATTCCTTGTGTTACAATTCTTTCATCTTAAAGGTAAATGTTCACTAGTTTCTATTTTTTTCCTCACATAATTAATGAGCTACTTATTTTCTCACATCTGTGCAAGACATAGCCTGGGATTGTCCTTGCTCCTCATTGCAGTCACAGTCTTTCTTCACTGTGTCCTTCTGGACTTTCATGACACCCTTGGGAGACAGTTCCGGACATTACCCATGTCAGCAAGCCTGGTTATCTCTTCTTTCATTTTAGCTTTTGTTGGGTTAATCTGTGATCATTTGTTTGAATGAAGTCTTTAGAAGAATGCCCGCAGAAGTGTTTTCTTCTTTCTTGAGCGTCTACTGTGTGAGTGACAGATGTGGGCAATTCTGTGCTTCTGGCAAGGAAAAGAAAAACATTTTTTTTAAAAGCCCACTATGATTAAACCTTAAAGTAGAACTCGGAATGTTCACCAAAAACAGATTACATAACATCCACCAACTCATAGTATTTTCTGTTTCAGTTTAATAGTAAACTACAGAAGCCCCAAAGAAGGTATACTCCAAGCTCAGGCAGGAAATCTGGGTGAGGTTTACAAGGCAACCTTTTCTTTTCCCCTCCTCTCCAGAACATTTTTAGACCCTGGGTCTCTGAACCCAAGGTGATTGGTCTGGCTTCTTGCCCTCCCTCCTTTGGGGGCAAATGTCTGTGTGGTGAGCCAATTTTACTTTCCATTTAAGCTGTGAGAAGGAGCCATCTAGTTCTGAATCTAGCTCCTGTAAATACATGCTTGGAAGAGGATCGAGAAACTAGCAGGTGTGCATCTCATCTGCTGACCATACTGGGTCATCTTGTTGACCTTGGTTGTGGAGGAGAAGTGACTTTTTGAGGTTCCCTGTGAGCGCGTAGTTCTGAAGTGCTCATATGTGGATCACGTGGCGCTTTAAAGGGGCAGAAGTCTGTGGTTTAGGTAAGCCACTGGCCAAGCCTGGCCCTTTACTGACCTTTGCAATACTATATGAGGAAGCTAAACTTTGAGGGTTCCAGTCTCTCCTAGAGCAAAGCACAACTTTGCCACAGCTTTTTGCCTAACAGACAAATGCCAAGTTCTGCTTGGGAATGTTTGGAGGGGCTTTTTATTTTCTGATCCAGGGATTGGAAGCTGTGGGAAGGGTTCTCTCCTCTTCATTTAGTCTTGGACATAGCTATGCCATCTGCAGTTAGT